GTTCTGATTCTACTCAATGATAACTAAGCTGTGATTAGTTATGATCCACACAAATACTTGCATAGTCAACAAAGCACAAATAGATATTCTTGTGATATTTTTTTGCTTCCTACCAGGATCCACCTGACATCAAGAAAACAAAAATCCTCGCCTCTGGACCTATAGGCAACATCGTGATAAAGAAAAAAATTGAAACAATGATGTCATCTTACTAGGATCCACAATCAATACACTTGGCATTAGCGGTCAGGAGATTGGGAGACATATTGCGCTGGAAAAGTCTGCAGTCAGGGATCTCTCCAAGTTATAGAGGAGCAAAGATGTCAGTTTGAGGACTAACATGTGCCTGATTCAAGCCATGACCTTTTCAATCACCTGCTATGCATCTAAGAGCTGGACAATGAGTAAGGATGACAGAAGAAGAATCCATGTCTTTGAAATGTGGTGCTGGAGAAGAGTGTTGAATATTCCATGGACTGCCAAAATAACAAAGAGTTACATCTTAGAGAAGGTGCAGCTGGAGTGCCCCCTCCTTGGAAGCAAAGATGATAAAGCTTCATCTCACATACTTTAGGCATGTTGTTAGAAGAGATTATTCCTTGGAGAGGGACATCCTTGGAAAGGTGGAGTGATGGCAAAGGAGAGGAAGATCCTCAACTAGGTGTACTAATGCAGTGATTGCTGCAATGAGTTCTTGTGTGTTGGAAAGTGTGAGGATAGCACAGGATAGAACCGTGTTCAGAGGTGCTGCTCATGGGGTCGCCATGAGTCATACTTGACTCATTGACATTTAACAACAACTCCTCCCTTGGACAAGGTTGGTGCAGCCTTTTAGTTAACAGTGCAAAACCCTACAGACTTATATATTCTGTCATTTCAATTTGGAAGTTTATTTTTTCCATTGATTTTTATATATCCAGGATAACACAAAAAACACACACTTTCAGGGTTGTTTTGCACATTCATTTCCCCTAGAACAAAAAAGTGAAGTTTGTTGGGTTTTTGTTGTGTTGAGTTTTTTTTCCCCTTCTTAAATTGGAAGCATGCTATTAGCTGTTTACAAAAGTGAATAAAAAGTAGCTTGCTTTTAAGTCTAAAATAAACAAAGTAGAAAGAAGCAGGTTGGGGTGTTTTTTCTACAGTATTTAGCAAACATAAGAAAAAGTCATTAGAAACACACAAAAAAAATGAAAAAAGTTGTTACAGGCATGAACAATATTTTATAATGAAACTTAAAGTCTATTTACATACATAAATACAATTAATTCTGTTGATGCAACTCATCTGGAAGGAAAAACAATGCCAGTTGATCAGCCATATTGGTACTGATCTAGCTAAAGGAAGGGGCAAATCTCAACCAACCCACCCACAAAAAAAAAGCCCACGATTATATACTGTAGGTAAACAGATGGGCATTTTGTTCAGATGTGAAAAATGTATTTAGATTACTCTTAAACCAATTTTTCATGTATAAGACTCCAAACATAAAGCCATCCCGCCAAAAAAAAAAAAAAAAAAAAAAAAAGAATCCCCCGCAAAAAAAACCAAAGAACTACCAACAGCAAAAAAAACACCAGGATGGAATGTCCCAAGGAAACAGGTATTTCAAGATAGAAATCTGCAATTCTAAATTGCAGGACATTTGAGTGAAACCATTCATTTCCTTTCTAATCAGTATTTCTGTTTATCTGCACAGAAATCCTAGGCAACAGAAAGCTGTCTATTTACTCAGTGATTGTAATTTGCTCAGGAAGGTTTCTGTTGCTGCACTTGAACAGCAAGCAGATCCCAAATGGTTGGCAAAGTCACCTTTGTGCTGGAAGAAACCCATAAGCAGGGGAAAGGCTGATGCACTGTTTTCTTACGTAAAGGGAGAAGAGCAGAAGTGTCCTGTGACCCTAACATTGGTGTGTGTGTGTGTGTGTGTGTGTACTCCTTATAGAAAGGTGAATGAAAGAGAAAAGGCGAGATTTAGAAGAAACTTAGGGAGAAAACCAGAAAGACTCAAGAGCGTGTTCAAGTTGAATTAACAAAGAAAGGCATGCATAAACAGAAGTGGATTATTCAAACTCTTCAGAACAAGGCTGCTTGATAAATTTTGTTTTTACCATATTGGTTTAAAGATCTCAATGATAAACAAGGAAACACTCTAATTGACCTCAAGGCAATGGATACAATTATTTAAGGGGAGGGGGCAGGAGGGAGACCAGTATCCAAAACAACCTTTGTCCACCCCCTGGAACCATTAAGTACTGTTGAGATTTAGATAAGCTCAGAAAGGCCAAGATAGAAAACAGTGACAAGCCTTTCCATCCTTGGCTTTGGGAGTGAAAGTTCAATGCAAAAGATCATTTGATCCCCTTTGTAGGGCTTTGGTCTGGTTTTGAGTTGGAATAACTTTAGGTACCAGAATTGAAGTGGAAAATATTTTTTTCCCTTCATTTTTTCAGGTCAGCTGTGGCAGCATGTGCTGAAAAGAAAATTCTAAGTTCAATTTGGAGGAAATGTGCCAGGGTCCCATTTATAAATAACAGTTCTTTAAAAAGAAAATGAGAATAACTTTGCTGGAAAAAAATGTACAGAATAAAACTGGATTGCAGAGGGAGAGTTGTCTCTAAAATGAAAATGAGTATGTTCTGCGTTTTTCCAAGAGCTGTGTTAGTTCTCTTCCAGATAAGAATGGCCTGACAACTGAAGATGCTTTACTCTTTAACTTTTACCAAAGTGCTACTGCATCTGTGTAAAACAGTCAATATATATATATATATAATCCAAAAACAAGTTGTCTTAAATAAGTTCAGCTGTTTTGCTGCCTGCAGCCAAAGATCTAATTTGAATTCTTAAATTCATAAAATAAAAATCAAACACTGTTCTGAAGCCCTGCTTTCAAAATACTCTTCAGAATTGACCTGAAATTGCTTCAACTAATTTAAGAGGTACATTAAATAATAACCAGATCGCTTTTGAACACACACGTCAAAATCAGCAGTTAGTATTTACCAGCTGTACCACTGCATTCTGACCAATCCTCCCACAAAAGTAGTGCCATAAAATTTACAGTGACATCGGGTACATTTGAATTGTAGCTCTGGGAAGCGGTGCCATAACCTTTCCTGTGATGCTGGTCACCATCATGGAAGTGTACACACCCCACAGGGTAGGTTCTCAGCTTGGGCGGAAGCAATGCAGAGATGGGTGGTTATCTGCCAAGAGACAATCAAGGCACATGTGGGAAACTGACTCACTAGACCTGTTTTGCATCACCCTCTAAAAACTGAGCTCGGGACTCTTCCTCAGAGGCACCTTTCCACTCCTCACCATGGAGGATGTACACACGTTTTGTTCTATACCAGTGTGTACATGATGGGTATTTCCATGGGAGCTAAATTATGCTGAACTCTGGGTTTTTGAAGATCTACTGCTTACTCTAGAACTGAGCAGTTAAGGAATCTACAAATTCATTCACCTTGTTCCCATGTAGATAATGCTCTTCCAACACATTTTCCTATGTGCTTGCTTACAAAGCATGTCTAAATTATCAGGAAGCTAGGGGTAAGTAAACTCCTAGATAGATAATAAATGCTTTCCAAAGGGCACTGACCATAACCACTGGCATCTATCTGAACCCTCCAGAGCAAGATTTTACCTCTTTTAGAAGTGAGGGGGTCAGTTATGGGACCCTTTTTGAGGTTGGTGGAAAATTCCAATTCTGATCCTTGGAGTGACCTCAAGTTTTTAAAAAGCCTATTAAAACCATTGGTGCATTAGCTACCAAATGGTTTAACAGGAAGGAGAGTTTAATGTAAACAGTAATTCTAGATAACCAAGTGATCACATTGTGTTATTGTTGTTTGCCATTGAGTTGGAATCCACCCATAGCTAAGAGGCAGTAAATCAGACAGGAGGAGATTGCCCATCCTTCTCCCAAGGAGCATCTGCATCTGGTGGGTTTGAACCACATGCCTTTGGCATTGCAGTACAGCTTCTTATCACAAGGACATACATTACCTACAGTTTTATTCCCAGCCTTCTTCAATGTGATACTTTTAACTTTGGTGACTACCCAAACAAACAAAAAAAATGTAGTACTTGATATTTTTCTTCTTAATATAAGTACATTTAAATAATAAAAAAGTATCAACAGTAAGTAAATGTCTAAACATCAAGATAGATAAATATCTAGGAATTCCTTGTAGGAATACAGTAGTTAAAAATGACCCAAAGCTGTAGTTGTTTCTCAAAAAAACCACAAAAAACAAAACCCAAGTACACAAATGTCCAAAAGAAAAGATAAATAAAAACTTAGAGAAAAGAGAATCATACTTTTTTCAATTGTCAAAGCAAATAAAGAAGCAAGTTCAAATTTATATATATATATATAAAATAAAAACCACCCAAATGCAAATATGCATTTTTTTTTTCCAATTCATAAGGTGCGGAAAATAAAATTAAAATACAAATCAGTTGTATCAGGATGATACAGTTGTATCAGAATAATACAAATCTGGATGAGTTGCAGCCCCTCTAAACACAAATTCCACACTCTTTGGAATAAACAACTTGCTTAAAAAGTGAAAAGTCAAGGGGTATAAAATCTTTCTTTTATTCACAGCATTGCTAAATCAGAAGCATTCACAGTTTCCCCCTAGGAATCTTCCTGCTTGCCTTACAACGTGTCCGTCTGGTGGTGAGGTGGGCACCTGGACACCGTCAAGTTGGGTCTGGTTGGAAAAACTCTGAGATGGGCCAACAGAAATTGCGAATTGCGTGGACTTCAGAAGCACAGGGGGCTCCGAGGCCGGCCTGAAGGGCGGCCCGCGCAGTGCTCGCCCCGGGGCCGGAGGCCGGACCGCGCGGGGGTCCTCCGGACAGAAGACGCAGGACCTGAAGGGGCCCCTTCCAGGGCGCCGTGCGCGGGTGACCCGGCGGTGCCACGCAAGCCGCTCCTTGGCGCTCGAGGCCCGCGGGCCTCCCTGACGACTCCCGGCAGCCCGCGCGCCTCAGTATGGCCGCCACACGGCTTCCTCCAGCCGCGCGGCCGGCGCCATGTTGGTGGGCGAGTTGCTGTGACTGCCCTCGGCCTCCACCACGTCGCTCTGGTTCGGGAGGCTGGGGTTGAGCAAGGCCGAGCCCGTGGAGGCGTTGGTGCAGGGCGGCAGGATGCGCGGCGGCGAGCGCTCGCCGCCCACCATGGAGAACTGGTAGGAGCCGGCCGAGGCGCCGTAGTACAGATGGTAGGAGGGCGAGCTGGCCTGGAACGGGCCGCCCTGCGTCTGCGACGAGCCGGGGTAGGGCGGCGGCAGGTACGTGTGGTAGCGCGTGGCCGAACTCATGGCCGACATGCCGATGCCGATGCCCGACGTGACGGGCGTGGGCGAGTAGGTGAAGGCGCCGGGGTAGTGCATGCGCGGGTCCGAGATGGAGGGCAGCGCGGGGAACTGGCGCGGGTCGCCGAAGGCCGTCAGGTCAGGAGCTGCTGCGGGCAGAGGAGAGAGAGCAGACGGCCAGGTGAGTTGGAGGGGCCATGGCACTTCTGCCTTCCCTGTCGTGAGGAGACTGCGCACATCACCTCAGTGGGAAAGACGACAGCATACTGTGCTATGATAGAGGCCAGTAATGGATACTACAGTAATAGAATGCAATGGCCTGCTTGGCAAGAAGGTGCACGTGGTACCAGTGCTCTGGGGAGAAGGATGGGCGGTCTCCACCTATGCGATTAACCGCCTCTGAAAAACCCAGCACAAGGCCAGCTGTGGGTCAGTTTCAGCTCTACAGTACTCAACAAACAGCAACAATGTAAAAATACAAACCTGTTGCTTTGCAGTGGATTCTAACACATAGTGACCCTGCATCTGGTTTCCAAGGCTATAATTCTTTACAGAAACAAGTGGATTTGAACTTGTTGATCAATAGTTCAACACTAACATGTAATGTGCTAATGTACTAGACTATATTATACGTAACATTTGTTGTTGTTGTTGTGTACCATAGAGTAAGAACAAACCCATAGCTGACCCTCCAGTGGGTTTTTAGAGACAGTATTCGCATGGGAGTAGATTGACCATCTTTCTCCAACGGAGCAGATGACAGGATTTGAACCACGTGCCCTTGGTCTTGCAGCACAGATTTTTACCACTAGGCCACCAAAGCTATTGACCTTTTTTTTCATGAAGTAGAATCCAGCTTATAGCAACACTATGAGACAGGGTAACTCCACAGAGCTTTCAAGGCTATTATTCATGTAAGAAGACTGCTACGTCCTTCTCCCATGGTGTAGATGGTGAGACTGAAATGCCAACCTTTCAGTTAGCAGCCAAGCGCTTAGCCATGCATCACCAGAATATTAAAATATACTTTGTTGTGTATTGTTGAGTCAGAACTGATTCATAGCTGACCCTCTAGGAAGTTTTCAGAGGCAGTAAATATCGGGCACTCAGGATTGTCTTCTTCTGGAACAGCTGGCTGGTAGATGCCTTTGGGTTGGCAGCGCAATTATTTAATAATAAGCCACCAGATCTCCCAATGTGATATTCTAGTACATAATGTTATACGATCTATTTAGGTTCCATCATAGGAAACAGCTACTGTGTAGGTCTAGAGTAGTTCAAAAGGAGCCACGGTAACACAGTTGTTACGCGCTGGTAACTACAAGGTCAGTGGTGAAACCCACCAGTCACTCCATGGGAGGAGGATGTGGCACTTTGCTTCTATAAAAATCATTATAAGGGAGTTTTACCCCATCCTGTGGAGTTGGAATTAAATTGATGGTACTAAATAAAAGTTTTAGCTTAATTTGTTGCTGTTGTTGGCTATGTGCTGTCCAGGTAGAACTGACTCACAGGTGACCCTCCAGTGGATTTTTCAAAGGCTGTAATTACTCTGAAGAAGATTGCCCATCTTTTCTCCCATGGTGGATTCAAACTGTGTGCCTTTGGGTTGGCAGCACAACTCCTTAGTTTGGTTTGTTGTTGTTGTTGTTGTTATGTGCTGTCGAGTCGTTTGCGACTCATAGCGACCCTATGTACAACAGCCCTAAACCCTGCTCTATCCTGTGCCAATTGCACTGCCTCTGACACACCCATCCCGATTACCCCAGTCACTGAATCAATCCATCTCATAGAGGATCTTCCCCTCTTGCGCTGTCCCTCCACCCTACCAAGCATGAGGTCCCTCTCCAAGGACCTGTTTAGAGCATGTGAAATTGGCAATTTCCTGTGATTCAACCTTTGGAATATTGTGGTGTTGTGACTTACCATTCATTTCTCTCCCTGCATCTACCTTCAAATGAATCCACTTTTTAGGACTGATACAACCTTAACTTCACCTCATATTTTCTAATATGAAATGGCATCAGGACTGGAGGAAGATTCATTAACAACCTACAATATGGAGATGATACAACCTTGCTTGCTGAAAGTAAAGAAGGTTTGAAGCACTAACTGATGAAGATCAAAGGCTACAACCTTTAGTATAGATTATACCAAAGTTATATATCAAATTGTATCAAAATAAAACTAGACCAATGTGGTAAGCTTTGAAAAGATTGAAGTTACATTGATTTAATTTTACTTGGTTCTGCAATCAATGCCTGTTGAAGTTGTTGTTATGTGTTGTTGAGTCGCCTGCGACTTATAGAGACCCTGTGTACAACAGCCCTAAACCCTGCTCTATCCTTTGCCAATCTTATTATCTCTGACACACTTACCCCCAATATCCCAGTCACTGAATCAGTGCATCTCATTGAGGGTCTTCCTCTCCTATGCTGTCCTTCCACATGGCGTTCCTCTACAAGGACTGGTCCCTCCTTGCAACATGTCCAGGGTATGTCAGACGAAGCTTCAGAGTCCTTGCCTCCAAGGAGCATCCTGATTTCACCCTCTCCAACATGAACTTGTTTGTTCCCTTAACAGTCCATGGTGTATATTCAGTGTTCTTCTCTAGCACCATAACTCAAAGGCATCAATTCTCCTTCTGTCATACATAGTCATTGTCTAGCTCTCTGATGCATAGCAAGTCATTGCAATGACCATGGCCTGTATCAGGTGCACCTTAGTCTCCAGACTGTTATCATTGCTCTCTGTTACTTTGGAGAGGTCTCTGACTGCAGACTTTTCCAGTGCAATACATCTTTTAATTTCCTGGCTGCTGGTGCCAAGAGTGTTGATTATGGATCCAAGCAAACTAAAGCTGTTAACTATCTCAATCTCTTCACCATCCATCATGATGCTGCCAATTGGCTCAGTGGTAAGAATCTTTGTTTTCTTGATATTGAGCTTCAATCCATATTGAAGGCTGCAGTCCTTCACTTTCTATAGCAAGCGCTACAGGTCCTCTTCGGTTTCAGCAGGTAGGCTTGTTTCATCTGCATAACGTGGATTGTTGAGTTTTCCTCCAATCCTAATGCCACAATTCTCCTCATAGAGCCCAGCCTTCTGAATCTGTTCTACATATAGATTGAAAAGGTATGAATATAGAATACATCCCTAATATACACCCTTGCCAGTTTTGAACCATGCAGTGCTTCCTTGCTCAGTTCTGATGCTTGCCTCCTAGTGCAAGTATAGGTTTCATATGACCACAAGTAAGTGTTCTGGGATTCCCATTCTTCTCAGAGTTAGCCACAGTTTGTATGATCCACACAGTCAAACACCTTTGCATACTCAGTGAAGCACAGATAGACATTCCTCTGGTACTCCCTGCTTTCAGCCAAGATCCATCAAACAGCCAAGATCCATCAAACATTAGCTACAATATCCCTAGTACCACAACGCCTTTTAAACCCAGCCTGCACATCTGGCAGTTCTCTGTTGATGTGCTGTTCCAGTTGTTTCTGGACAATCTTTAGCAGAATCTTGCTTGCATGTGATATTAATGATACTGTTCGATAATTTCCATACTCTATCGGATCACCTTTCTTTGTAATGGAAACAAATATAGACCTCTTTCAGTCAGTTGGCCAGGTGGTTGTCCTCCAGATTTCTTGGGACAACTTCGTGAGCACATCCAGGGCAGTGTCTGTTGAAATATATCACTTGGTATACTGTCAATTCCTGGGGCCTTGTTTTTTGCCAATTCTTTCAAAGCATCTTGAACTTCTTCCTTCAACACCACATGTTCTTGCTTCTATGTTTAATTAAATTTTTCTGTATTCACCAATTCTTTTTGGTACAATGACTCTGTATACACTTTCCATCTTCTTTTAATACTTTCTGGATCATTTAATATTCTGCCCAGAGCATCAGTAAGTATTCCAACTTGAGGCTTGAATTTGTTCTTCAGTTCTTTGAGCTTAAGAAATGCTGAATGAGTTCTTCCCCTTTGATTTTCTGACTCCAGTTCTTTGGACATGTGCCAATTTCAATATCTTGTTACATTTTCAAACTGCTACTGCATAGCATTCAATACTCTTCTCCAGCTGTGATGCTGGAGAAGAGTATTGAATGTACCATGGACTGCCAAGAAAACAAACAGATTCATCCTAGAGGGGGTTAAACCAGGCTACTCCTTGGAGGCAAAGATTCTGAGGCTTCGTCTGACATACTTTGGACATGTTGCAAGGAGAGACAGGAGAGGGACATCATGCTGGGTAGAATAGAGGGACAGCGCAGGAGGGGAAGACCTTCTGTGAGGTGGATTGATTCAGTGACTGAGGTAATTGGGATGGGTGTGTCAGAGAGTGTGATTGGCGCAGGATAGAGCAGGGTTTAGGGCTGTTGTACACAGGATCACTATGAGTTGCAAACAGCTCGACGGCACATAACAACAGCAACAACTGCATAGGCACATATAATGAAATGTGCCTATGCAAGTAGCAGTCTGGAAATGAAGCAAGATATTAAAAGGGGCACATATTCTACAAAGTCACTCTTTAAAGTGTGGAAAAGCAAAGATGTTATCTTGTGGACTAAAGTGAGACTGACCCAAGCCATAGTATTTTTCATTGCCTCACAGGCATGCAGAATTGAGACAATAAATAAAGACCAAAGTAGAATGGATTTGAATTATGGTCTTGGCTAAGAATACTCAACCATGGACTGCCAGAGAATGAACATATCAGTCTTGAGAGAAGTATAGCTAGAATCATCCTTAGATGGGAGGAAGGTGCCACTTTGTTTCACATACTCTGGATATGTTCTTAGGAAAGACCAAGACCACTACCTGGAAAAAGTGTGCTTGGCAAAATTGAGGGTCACTGAAAAAGAGGAAGCCGCTCCAGGAGGTTAGAAGGGCTCGGTGTCTACAATGGTGAGGTGAAGCACAGCAATGAGAGTGAGGAAGGAGCCTGGGAAACCCAAGGGAGGATCAGCTATACATTGGTTACCGCTCGGTGGCAATGATTTTTTTATGAGAATGTGTTAACAAGAATGGATATAAGACCTTGATTTATATATTCCATGTTTTCAATATGTTGACGTTTTTACCAGGAATGACCAAGCTTTGTTAATAAAATTCACATTGGTATACTTGTGTATATGT